GTCGACTTACCTGGCTGGAAGGACGGCGGCGAGTCGACCACTGCCGCCTCTTGCCGCGGTGGATTTCCGGAGTCGACTGCAGAACGATCAGGGATCGATTTTATCACGTCTTCACTAGACGCGATAAGTCGATCCCCAGTAGATCGATTGCTACCCGCCGATCCGGCGGGTAGTGAAGACATGCCCTGAATGACAGTAATATACTCCTCACCTAGGAAGGGTCTATGTGCTTTCTCACTTTTATTCCTGTGCCAGAGAGGCACAATGGGGTTAGGTTACAGCTCAGGAGCTATTTTACTTATCCATTTTTTAAAAAAAATCTAGGACAATGATTAGCAAAACGGTGTGACTTTCTTGTGTGAAAGTCTGAGCAATTTAAAGCTCAATTCTACTTTATTGAACACCAATCACCAAAATAAAAGTAATGTAATTTAAATGAAAATCCAGGATTATAACTGGAATGCGGGGTTTTGATTACCGAGTATTCGTAACTTAACTTTCATGTGTTTAGGAAATGCTGAACAGTAACTGTGATTTTTTTTTTCTGTATGGTAGTTTAAATAAATTACCAAAATAAGTGAAACTGGTGTGATTGTATTGCATTATTTTGACAAATAAAATTTTGCATTTTGGGTGCAGAATTTTGGATTTGCGGGTGCAGAATTCCCCCAGGAGTAAAGTAGTTGCACCTTCACAGTTTGTGAATTTAGAGGAGTGAGTGAGAGCTCTTGAGACTGAAAGATTCTCTGTGTGGCACAGGCACGGTACTGACAGCAATAGTACAAGATTCCCCAACACTGCCCTAAGAATCTGCTTTATCCTTTATCTGGAGTGAGGATTTTTATTGTTATTATTTATTTATTATTTCCATGGTCTGTTGCATCACTGGTGCAACTGAGACTGCCAACTTCAAGAGTAATTAGTGGTAGTATTAATATTTTGGAAGACGGGGACTTCCAAAATCCTATATCAGGGTTGATGATGATTGATTTTTTTAAAGTAAAAAAAAAGATTTTATATAAATCAGGTGTTTTATTTAAATACATTTCTTTTTCAAAGTAAACCTGTTTAAAATTAAATTTGAAATCATAACTTATGTTTAAGGACTAGACTTACTATAATTTATTAAAATAAATTTTTAAAAAGCCTGCATCACTGAACTCTCAAATGTTAATGTAAAGGATGCTATTTTCTAAATTATATACAGATTCCTGGTTACAAATATCTCTGACTTTTGAGGTCAGCTCAAGCTTTATCAGTGTCATGATGTCATGTATTGCATTAAATATTCTTCTTCGAGTGATTGCTCATGTGTATTCCACAGTAGGTGTCCCTGCTCACTGCGTGCACCGGTGTCGGAAGTTTTCCCCCTAGCAGTACCCATAGGGGAGCGCCCCCAGCCACCCCTAAAGTGGTGCCTCCATGGCGCTGTATAAGAGGCGCTGCACACTCTCCCCACCCTCAGTTCCTTCTTGCTGCCAGTGAAGGTGGTTCGGAACTGCTCTGCTCCAGCTTTGCTGCAGCTCTCCCCAGATCTCTTGTTTGTTCAGTGTAGTAATACCTGTAGTTAGTAGTTTGATTAGTTTTAGTTAGGGTGACCAGATGGTAAGGGGAAAATATCAAGACTGCTGTGGTGGGGCTTTTTTTTTTTTTTACACTCACCTGTCCGCGTCCTCGGCGGCAATTCAGCAGAAGTCCTTCAGTTGCTGATGGTCTTCAGCGGTATTTCGGCGGCGGGTGATAAACATTGCCACCAAAGATAGAAGCCCCTGCTGCCGAAGACCGTCAGCGACTTAAGAACTCTCCGCTGAATTGCTGCTGAAGACCCAGATGGGTGAGTGTGTGTGGGGGAGAGAAAAAAAAAGGCCCGAAACAAAATATCGGGACAAATTCCTTAAAATCGGGACAGTCCCAATTTTATCGGGACGTCTGGTCACCCTAGGTTTAGTTTAGTTTAGTTAGTGCGCATGGGCCGGGGCGTGCCTTGGGTTTTAAGTTGTGCGACACTTGTAGGCGACCGATGCCAATAAGTGATCTGCACGCGGACTGTTTACACTTTTTGGGTGAAACCCATCTCAGCGATCACTGCAAGATTTGCAAGTTGTTTAAGCCTCGGACCAAGAGAGAGAGAGAGACATTAGGCTCCAGGCCATCCAGGCCGACCCCCCCCCTCCCCCGACACCGTCTACCCGTCAGCACCACTCCCCATCCACAGGGCACACCAAGAAGGCTAAGAAGAGGCCTTCGCCGCCGCGGCACTGGAGCAAGACTGGGGGAGAGGCTAGACCCATGTTGGGCAAGTCCTTGGTCCCCAATGGCCTCTAGGCCTCCAACTCAGATCGAGCGGAGTAGCCTGTCCCATTTGGAGCAGGCTTCCTTGGATGTCCGGATGTCCTCCATGTCAGAAGCCCTGCAAGTGGCCCGGGACGTTATGTCCATGCCGGTACCAGAAGCACCGCCAATGTTGACCCTGCAGTCCAGAGGCAAGGCGGCGCTGGGATCTCCGCAGTCGCCCCCGGCTCGGTACCGGTCATGGGCAAGGGAATGTTCCTGACGCTGTTTGCCGCTCGGCGACCGTCCCGTGCATAGTCCATGCAGGTCACCATCGACCCTCACCAGGTTGTCTGGCTGGGTTCCAACTGACAGAGATTCCAGGCACCGCTGCACCTCGAAGAGCGGACACCGACGGGACCGAGGCAGATGCTGCTGAAGGCCCTTGTCTAAGAGGGGCTATCGTAGCCAGTCGCGACACGAACATCGACGCCATTCCCGTTCGTTGTCTCACTTCAGGACCCCACTACTGCACCACTTCCACAGCCCTGGACGTTGATCGCCAGCGCCTCACTATCGCGGATCTGCCCGCTGGAGCCAATCTCAGAGCAGCTGCTACCGGCGGTACCATTCCTCCATGATGTGATCACAGTCTTGTGGTCAGCACCACTGCCGGCGCTGCTGCTCCTCCCGCTCCAGTGACAGTGGCAGGTCATACGTCAGCCTGGCCTCCCTTTGTAGTCGTCCATCGATGGGTCGGGCCAGTCAGGCTGAACCGCCTGCTCTGCCGGTGCCACTGCAGATATCACATTGATATTAACATCTTCCATATAGGAGTGTGACTGCCACCTGTCATGACAGGATAGAGCCACTCAAAGCAAGGTTTTGTCAGAAATTAGTTGTCCCTTTGGCAGATGGAAAAAGGTGGTGATTAAGCAGAACAAAAAGCAAACTCTGATCTTTGAAATTAACCCTTAAAAGAGCACATCCTGATGAGCACAAAAGAATTCCGGGAGGACAGTGTATTGGACCAAAGTGATTTCAGGTCTAACTCCATTCATAGTGGCATTCTGCTCTGTTGCATCATGAGGTTTATTAGAGTGATTAATAAGAAGAATAGTGACAATCGATATTAAAATTAGACTTTGCAGAAAGTTTTATGGCTTCAATTTAACCCTCTTCCCTTCGTACCTTTCTTTCTGCATCTCTTGAAAGTTTCCTGAACCTCTGAGCCCACAAAATATTTATTCCAATAGAGCTTTGGGGCTCCAGTTAGGATTTCCTAGGTGCTATACAGACAAAATTCCTGGTCCCAGCAGCTTACACTCTAGCTTGACAAGACATAACAAATAAATAATTAATAGGGAAAAGGGGAAGGATGATGATACCAGTCAGACTATTAACTGCATAACTTCTATCAGTGTGCTTAATTTGAAAGTTCAAACATATCATATTCTTGGTAATTATAGTATTAATAACTGTCTTCCTTCCCAGTGCTAATTCTTCGTACTGTATGCCAACAATAGTGTATGCTTGAGCCACTTCAGAAGGGAAATGGATCCAAGCTGCAAAGTTCTGATCGGAACTTCCCCAATGTTCATTGGCGTTCAGATCTGGGATTGTGTTTCAGGCCCATCTCTACTATGATTGAGTTCCTGCCTGGCAAGTCATGCGTGAGCCTTTCAAATTGCTGAGATGTTACCCTAGTGTCACACCTAAAATTTCAGTAATACAGGTTCTAGAGGGATTCCCTATATATGGAGATTGAGATTAGTTTGATTTTGTTCCCACTGAAGTCGATGATAAATCTCCCATTGTCTTCAATGGAAGCAGAGTTAATCCATGCTAAACACTTTTGAAGATGCATAATGGAGATAATGCTGGAGCCAGTGAAAACTTTAACTGTACTCATTTTATGAGATCTCAGACAATAATTCTAATTAAGTACATTTTCTCTTCTAATAATTAAATTGCTAAATTTAGACAACTAAGTCAATACTCATTTCATACAATCAAAAGAATCAGCTTCATGATTATAATGGAAAGCAGACTGATTAAAAGTAGTAATTGCATTATCCCCCCATCATTCAGGCACAAATTTAAAATAAAATTAGCACAATAAAATGTGAGGAAGGGTTTAGGTTGTATCTATGGAAATCACACAAGGAGAGTATCATTTTCCTCACCCTTTAGCAATTGACACATAACAGGTAATGAGTCTTATACAGCAACTAGCTTAGGAGTCTTTAGCACAAGTAGTAGAGAGACATAAATGTCTAACACTGGAGGTTCTAGGTTCAAACCCCACTGACTGGGCAAGAGGCTTTGGTTATATCTATGCTAGCCTCTTCCCCCTAATATTTCCCACTGTTGCAGCTCCACCAATGGCTGTGCTAGTATAGAAGACTGTCCACTGCAATTAACAACTATCATATAAACCATGCTACTGGTTGATCTACACTAGCAGGTCTAGGAGACCTGGTTTATACGAAAGCTCAGGGCTGGCGCTTCCACTAGGCGACCCTAGACGGTCACCTAGGACAGCAGGATTTGGGGGGTGGCATTTTGCCGTCCTCGGCGGAAATTTGGCGTTGGGGGGTCCTTCACTCGCTCTGGGACCTGCCGCCGAAGTGCCCCGAAGACGTGAAGTGAAAGGACCCCCGCTGCCGAATGCTCAGAGTAGGAGTGCTGCTGCCTAAGTGGGCTGTAGCCCACGAAAGCTTATGCTCTAATAAATTTGTTAGTCTCTAAGGTGCCACAAGTACTCCTGTTCTTCTTTTTGCGGATACAGACTAACACGGCTGCTACTCAAAAACCCTGGTGCCGCTCCTGCTAAACCTCCCACTGTTGGAGAAGCACCCAATTCTAATTTTTAGTGGGGAAGTGGATATAGACACCCCCATACAGTAGTGATAACTGATTAATGAATGTCTTTAGACTTCAGTGTTTTGTGGGAAATATGTCGCATGAACAGCCTATAAAGCTCAAGTTTATCATTAATTAATAAATTAAAAAGGCCCAACATGAATTTCTCAAGGTCTCTTCCAGCCCGGCATTTCTAAGATTCTATGAAAATGGTCTTCAAGTCCAGCCAGAATACTGGCTGATTACATCTCTCTAAGCTCTTGTGCAAATAGACAAGCATTTGGTTAGATTGCCAGGTAATTTAGGACAAACTTTAACAGGTGTGTAGTTTTTGGACATTTCTTCATGTCAGTGACATTTTGTCATATTTGTCATAAAAACAAAAAAGTTCTCTGACTGCTTTTCATGCTTAGGAGAAAACTGGTTTGGTTCAGGTGGGCAAGGAGTACCACAGAGTGTTTTGGCTGCTTTGTTTTAAAAGTGCATCCAAGGTTTATAACTGGCTGGAGACAAGAAATATGTTGCCCAAGGCAAACTTCTCTTGATGCCATGAATGAAAAGAGACTGCTGTGGCAGAGTAGGAATTCATACTTTAGAGGTGTTGTCATCCTCTTTGTCAAAGGCTGGCTTGTAGATGACTCTTCTGTTGTCTTCTCGTTCCTTTTTGCAACTATAACAAAATAATTATATTAGCAAAGTGAAATTGCAATGAGAGAAAAGCATCAATGACTATTTAAAACACGTTATTTTTCAGGGTATGGAGTGATACTTTCAGTACTAGTGCACTTTGCACCACTCACTGGGGCCAGTACTTAAAAATATGTAGGGATAACAGTTTATGCACCATACAAAGCTAGTGTTCATTACAAGGGAAAACTTTGAGTAGGCAAAGGGGAAGTAAGCAACCTTGGTCTCTCCTCCAGAACTAACCCAGACTGATTGCTATAAAAGCCAAGTGCTCTCAGCATACATCTCATATAGGACTTCGTCCCTTAATTGACATAACCATTCCTGTGGTAGGGATTTATTCTAAAACTCCACCCTCTTCTAGTCTGACTTCCTTTCCAACTGCATATGCACAGCAGCAGATTCAGAGAGCAGCTAAAAGCAGGTAAATTTTAAGCAACAGAAATGGGATCAGGGAAAGAACAAATAGAGGGGGGGTGAGAGATGGCAAACGCTGGGAGAGAGCACATCATCTAGCCAGCTGTCCACCCCAGTTAGAATGCAGAGTTGGAGGAGAAAGGAGCTCATTCCCTAGCCTCTACTCCCTGGAGCTGTCCAGGACAGAAAGCATTTCAGTCTGCTCTCCATAGACTCATTCTACAAGGCTTTCCCTCACTCTGAACTCCATATCTTGGGGGGGCGGGGGAAGGGGGGTTAATGTGAGCATCGCTGAAGTATTTTGGCAAAAAAACGAGCACCTCTATAGGGGTTAGGGTAGAGGGATAGGTACATTGGGACAAAAGTCATCTCCGGTACACCAGCATGAGTTCATATTTATTCTCTATTTTCTATGAAATGGGTTTCGTCTGCTCAGGTCCACTAATCCTAGAGGAGAATCAACATATTTACCATGTTTAAACAAACAAAGGTGGGACAGCAAAATCTCTTACCTCTTCTTCCTAAGCAGCCAAAAGGCTACTACAAGCATGATGATAACTCCAAGAACACTGGCTAACACAACTGAAAGGACAACACCTAGGAAAAGGAGGAAAATGCACAAGTTTGTTTTCTTTCTTTGATGTACAAAGCTACTTAAAGGAAGTAAAATGGCAAACTTATGCCTTTACTAGGTATACTTCTCAAAAGATGCAAACCTGAAGACCCCATCCTGAAATCAGATCCACATAGGCATAAGTCTGTACTCACCCAGAGCCCCAAGGAGCACTGAATTGGCACAGGAGTCATGGAGCAGCTTGCAGGATCAGGGTTCTTTATGCCTGTTGTCAGTTAACATCTCTGTTCAGTACAGGCAAAATTCAAGAATCGGGCCCAAATCAGAGAGAATGCCAAACGAATTCCTGCTCTTTCTATGCCCAAAGAACACAGCTGAATGTAGTCCTTGCTGCAGGTGGTGTGTTTTGTAATTGAGAATATTATTTTCAGGTGTTGCTACAAAGGTTAAAGGAGGTAGCGGATTAAATCATGATATTAATATAACATTTAAAAAATGTCATTAGTTCATGTCTGTAAGCACTTTGGAGATGATGTTTTGGATAACCCTCTCAAGCTTGAGATTCTGCAGACCTGATACTGGTAAATAATTGGGGTGAATTTAATCATCAACAACAAAGGGCAAACACTGACTTGACATGCATATCTGCACTCCATGAAAACAGCACAATAATACCACCTTGCATCCCTTATGCTCAACAAGAGATGGCTGCCTCTGTTCTTGCCTCTCTGGAAGTCAGAAAGGCTTCTCTTTAGGCCTGCTGCTGTTGCAGTCATGTATGTGCACAATAAGGTTTTGCTCTACTGTGGTTTCCTGGATAAAAACACATCCCTACGCAGTTCCCCACCATCTCCTCCACCTTCCAAATTGAAGTTTGTTCCTACTACTCTTGGCACAAGTGGTTGTAAAAGGCTCTGCATCATGCTGTTCTCAACTGGCATAAAGATGCATATGTTAACAGTGCTCTTGCAGGGTTGTTGGTTTTTGAGGGGGTGGGAGGGTGTTTTGCATCTGTTAGTGAACACTTAAAACCACAACAGGTGGAATATGCCTAAAAGTTGTTTGGGAGGTTTTGCTGCTGATAAATGGTCCTTTTTTTTCGTGTTAGAAATCTTTGCTTTGGTTCATTGACCCAGTCAATTAACTGCAACAAAAGACTGAATGGGTTTTCTATCAAAATATCACTACACCTAAACAATGGATTCTGTAACCCCAGAGACCATTCCTGGTGTGAGAACAGCAGGATGGCTGTGGGGTACATATTCGGAATGTCTTTAAAGGAAATGTTGCTTACAAACAGGAGCTAAATTATGTGATTGTTTGGATGGACTGGAAGACAGGAAACCTAAACTCTATTCCTGGATTTGACACTGACTCTCTGTGTGATTTTTTTGGGCAAGTCACTTCATGTTCCATGTTAGATGGTAATAACAATGCTTACGCCATTTTGTATAGCACTTGGATATTATGGGTGAAAAGTATATTATTTGATTTGTTTTAGGTTAGTTAAATCATGCATTATAATTCAATATAATTACTGTTAACCATAGGGCAGAACTTACAGCAAAGAGGTACATTAGATATTGAAAGGTCACTTTAAGACAGAAATGGAAAATTGCATAGAATGAGAAGCTCAATCAATCTGAATCACAAAGATTGCTGTTGTGTATATATGCTGTTAGCAATCCAACAACATACCCGTGCTCAGTCCACCATGTACTGAATCTTGACAAAATGAAGGGGGCAGAGAGGGAAAAAGTGAAAGGTTAATCACTAAGGTTACACTGGAAATGAGTATTAAAGAAATATAGATCAGGTATTTTCCTCATAACTTTTTATTTCTCCTTGGTAAATGGTGCTGGTTGGGTACTAGTCTTGTAGTCATTTTTAATGTGTGGCTTTTAAGACAGACCCTGCAGATTGCCTGTCACTTAAAGCATTGCTATCTGAAAATGTTTATAGTCAGTATTGCAACTGCTGCTTCATATACACCTTAAAATCTTTGCACATTGTTTGGCCAGAGCAGAGGTTTGGAGTGGATCACAGACAAACATACTGGCGCACACCAGTTATTCAGTGTCTGACAATGACTAATTCTGGAAGCTTCAGGAAAAAAGGCATAAACTCCTACTATATGCAATTGTATACTACCGCTAATCATCTGATCCTCTAAAGCATAAGACAGTAGGAAGTGCATTGGTCTGACTTTGAGTCCCTAGCACAGCATCTGAAGTAGCTAAGGAGGTAGAATGGCCTATGATGGCAAGAATTACTACTGTGTTCAGCAGAACATCAAAGAAATCTGACCTGTCACAAGTAGTTGAAACCTGAGCTAAGCTCTCCCAGCCCTCAAGTGAGAGGAGAGGGAATGTTGAGGATTAAGGGTAGGTCTACACTTACCTCCGGGTCCGGCGGTAAGCAATCGATCTTCTGGGATAGATTTATCGTGTCTTGTCTAAACACTATAAATCGATCCCGGAAGTGTTGCCAAATAGTGAGGGGTGGCATTATGTGCAAAACTTGGACAGTTACTTCCTGACATTTGAGTAATATAGCTTGTTTATAGTAGACCTCTGTTTGCATGCATTTGACTTGCTTTCTTCTTTGTATTGTATGTACAGCTAGTACTGGCTTAGATGTATCTGAGAGGTTGGTTTTAGTATTATGATGATCTGATAAACACATTGGTCACTACTTGTCTATTTTGGATAAGACGGGATTTGTAATACTGGAGTATTTGTAATCATAATGGCAGTGTATTGGGATATTGCTCTTCTGTAACATTAACCTGTGAAGGTGCTGACATTATTATTATTCTAAGTCCCTTCTGTCATGCTGCAACCCCTTCCTAAAGAGGCTTGTTACGGGCAGAGAGGGAAGTTGCTGGGGAAGAATAAAGGCCCAGCTTCCTAGTCGTATAAACAACCTTATCCCAAATTTGCTGAGGTTCACCAATGTATCAAATTTTTAGTTCAAGCCTCAGTTAAGTAAGTGGAAATTAAACAAGACATGTAAGCCTATCTTTGTTGGAACATATAGTGCAACACAATCTATTCAACAACACTCAATTTTGCTGCTGCCTTTGAGTTTGGAGTAGAATGAAAAAAGTCAAAGTGCAGAACTGACAAAAAATTAGAGATAACCAGTGTTTCTTGTCTGTGAATTGCACATAGTCACTGAAGTAATTTATTCCCAATGCAGTCAGGGCTTTGCTTACATGAAATAAGAAAGTATTTCCAATTTATCAGAGGGTGGATGTTAGTCTATATTCACAAAAACAACAAGGAGTCCGGTGGCATCTTAAAGACTAACAGATTTATTTGGGCATAAGCTTTTGTGGGTAAAAAAACCACTTCTTCAGATGCATGGAGTGAAAATTACAGCTACAGGCATAAATATATATTGGCACATGAAGAGAAGGGAGTTACTTTACAAGTGGAGAACCAATGTTGAAGGCCAGTTTAGTCAGGGTGGATGTAGTCCACTCCCTAGGGACTACATCCACCCTGACTAAATTGGCCTTCAACATTGGTTCTCCACTTGTAAGGTAACTCCCTTCTCTTCATGTGCCAATATATATTTATGCCTGTAGCTGTAATTTTCACTCCATGAGTCTGAAGAAGTGGGTTTTTTACCCACAAAAGCTTATGCCCAAATAAATCTGTTAGTCTTTAAGGTGCCACCTGACTCCTTGTTGTTTTTATTTCCAATTTGTCACTGATACAGTACAATAACTCTTTTGCTCAACTACTAACCTGATAAGGGGGTAGTTCTGTTAATACTGATGACTTATTGTGAGAAATGAGGCAGTCCGAGTCAAATGACTCCTTACTGCACAGAGCAATATGTGAACAGAGACTGAGAAGGTACTTCATGCACAACAGAGAGGTATTTGTGATCTTTTATAAAGGGAGAGATCACTGTTTTCATTAGAATATGCATTGACACATACAATACATACAATCAAGAAGATACCCAGAGATGTGCTTGATCTCTTGTCTTGCAAACTAGGTAGATTTGGTGTTATGTTCTGGCCAGACCTCAGAACTACATTCAGAATAATAACCAATGGATGATTTAGTTGGGAATTGGTCCTGCTTTGAGCAGGGGGTTGGACTAGATGACCTCCTGAGGTCCCTTCCAACCCTGATATTCTATGATTCTATGAAACATCCCTTCTGTTAATAAAGATGGGAAAAAGCAAACTACAGTTGTTTTTTAATTGTTAACTTCTAACTGAGTTAGATTCAAGACTCTTGAAAGTTATATATATTTGTAGAAGTGCAGTCATCAAGCAGGTGTGTTATCTAATGGTTCAAAGAAGGCTGGGAGCCAATACTGGGTTCTGTCCCACTCTGGAACTGACTTCCTGTAAAACTTTAAGAAAGTCTTCCTGTTCCTCAATTTCCCCATCTGTAAATTGGAGATAATGAATATGCCTCCAGGGGGCTGTGAAATGCCTTGAGAACTTGGGGTAAAAGGTGCTAAATAAATGTAAAGTGTTATACTGACCTCTTTTATCAAGTGTAGAACTGATTCCCCTTCACCATTAACATCTGTTAACTCTAGATACATTTTACTCATACTCTAACCAAAAATGTAGGGAGGTGAGACATCTGTTCTTAAACCACTGTCCTGCCTCAAGTGCTGCAAGTGAAAATAGTTAACTTTTATATGCACAGAAATGAGGCCTAAGTGAACCCTGATTTAGTTTAAAGGCACTTTTGAAAGTTCCCTGAATTGCCATTAACACCAAAACACCAATCTGACCTTTTCAAATGCATCTGCTCCATAAGAGCTTTCCCTGAGAGGCAACTATTTCATAGTTCCCAGCAAGAGTGATTAATTAATTAGAAATCAGGAGACACTGTAATAGTGCAGAATAAGGCATTTACACATTTAATAGAATAGAGTCCCCCCTGTGGATACTATTGCAGAATACAACAAAGAGTCCTGTGGCACCTTTAAGACTAACAGATGTATTGGAACATAAGCTTTTGTGGGTGAATGCCCACTTCTTCGGACACATGCATCTGAAGAAGTGGGCATTCACCCACGAAAGCTTATGCTCCAATACATCTGTTAGTCTTAAAGGTGCCACAGGACTCTCTGTTGCTTTTTACAGATCCAGAATAACACGGCTACCCCTCTGATACTATTGCAAAATAGTTTATTCCAGGAGAGCTAGTCTGGTCAATTTCCTGAGGGTGGCACAATTTCCTACCTGTGTTTTGTTCATTTGACAAAAAGTGGAATAACAAGCAGATACTGTTGCCTGAAGATTTTGTAATGGATACACTAATATGTGCCTTTATTAATCTGCCAACTGACTGTTTGGCTGGATTGGATTCTTAATTTGTTTTAAACTTCTGCAATCTGTCTGAAGATGTGTAGTATTTGACTTAGACCCATCTGCTGAAGCAATGCATTGAATGTGCCAGCACTCCAAGGGCTTTGTACAACTCAGTGATAGCCCACTTAATGGTTTTGACTGATTTCAGAGCCACACATTGATCATTACAGTTCATTTTGCACAAATAATCCAAGTAAACCGTACTGATACGCAGGAAAGCTTATCATCAAAGGTGCAGGCATTTATGCAAAAGCCCCTCACACACAATTGTCATTATGTAGCACTACATAATAAATTCTTTAAACCAATTGTGTCCTTAGACTTCAATTTAATAAAATGGCTAATTTTACATCCATAACCGTGGATTATGCAATCCATTGTTATGAGTTATTTTTTCTTCTAGGTGTCAAACTCAAACTCCTCAAGGACATCCTCTGTAATTCCCCATAAACAGTCTCCCTGCAATGCAAAATTATGATTCCTTTTAAGAGTGGGGCAGCACAATAATTATCCTGTACCAGCTGAGTTTGACATCACTGTGTCTGAAATCTCTTTCCAAAGTCAAGGGGCTATTTTTTTTTATTAAATTAAAAACACACATGCTAAGTACCTGACCCTGCAAACACTTACAGTCTAGTTCAGAGCCCATGGAAAGACATCTATTGAGTTTAGTGGTCACTGGACTGGAATAACTTTATTCCCGTACATGTTTTCAGGATCAGGCCTCAAGGCTGGATCAAAAAATGGTCTTTCTTCAATCCAAAATGTAAAAGTATGTAGTTTTTTCCCCAAAGGTTAACATATTCTGCCTCATTCTAATCAGATACTTATAAAAAGGACAGGTTTCAGAGTAGCAGCCGTGTTAGTCTGTATCCGCAAAAAGAAGAACAGGAGGACTTGTGGCACCTTAGAGACTAACAAATTTATTAGAGCATAAGCTTTCGTGGACTACAGCCCACTTCTTCGGATGCATCCTGTTCTTTTTATAAAAAGGAATATGTTTCCACTATTCTCTGCATTACTAGATTTCCAATTTGTAACATGCCCTGCAAAGTTCTGCCCTTTCTTTTGTGTATTAAAATCAAATTGCATATTTCATGAAACTTCCCAAGAGCCCAATCCTGTCTCTGTTGAAGTCAGCAGGCATTTTGTAATTGACTTTGATTGGAGCCTCAGCAAAGTTTTTAAATATGTTTGGGGTCCAGAGATGTGGGGCTGCAGTGCAGTTATGGAGTATGCTAGAGTTAATTGATAAAAGCTTAGACAGGCTAATTAAAATGAGGAAAATTTGGCAACATGGAACGAGGATATACGTGATCATAATGCCACTTAAAACAGTGACTGGAAGTAAAAGATTCAAAATTAGAGAGAAAAACGGTCTGGGGTAAATATCAAAAAATTCTTCTCCCATTGAGAAGAACAGGAGTACTTGTGGCACCTTAGAGACTAACAAATTTCTCCCATTGAGCATGACAAGAAGGGCTGGGGCTCCCCAATACACTTTCCCCTGCCCGATCTTCCTCACTCTACTCTTCAAGATCTAAGGACAATGACTGAGTGGGATCTGCTCATTTGATCCTAATGAGTGACAAAAAGAACTTTGTATTCACCTTATTCTCATACAATTGCTCATATAAGCAACTGTAAGAGGAGAAAAAGGGAGACCACAATGTAAGAGGAAATGATACTGTGTGAAAACTCCTACTGATCTCTTTGTGCCTGAATAAACCAAAGCAATGCTATAGGGACTTAGTATTCCAAATCCACGTGCATAACTATTTACTATTTCTTTACACAGGCATTTATTTTACTTACCTTGACGGAAGGATACAGAAACCAGCCTTTCATCAAACTCCTGAATGTGTCTGAAGTTATTAACCATTTCCAGGGGTGCGGGGTCATTGGGTTGTGTGCAGTACAGAGCTGTTTCCAGTGCCAGCAGCTAGGGACAAAGCATACAATTCAGCATCCAGTGTTTAGAAAACGCAAGGTGGGTATGTTTAGACATCATCTTATGCTGAAGTGACACTGAGGCCTGGTCTACAGTATGAGTTTAATTCGAATTTAGCAGCCTTAAATCGAATTAACCCTGCACCCGTCCATACAGCGAAGCCATTTATTTCAAAATAAAGGGCTCTTAAAATCGATTTCTGTACTCCTCCCCGACAAGCGGAGTAGCGCCAAAATTGATAGTCATTTCGAATTAGGGTTAGTGTGGCCGCAATTCGATGGTATTGGCCTCCGGGAGCTATCCCACAGTGCACCATTGTGACCGCTCTGGACAGCAATCTGAACTCGGATGCACTGGCCAGGTAGACCAGAAAAGCCCCGCGAACATTTGAATTTCATTTCTTGTTTGCCCAGCACAGGAGAGCATAGGTGACCACAGAGAGCTCATCAGCACAGATAACCATGCAGGCTGATAATCGAAAAAGAGCACCAGCATGGACTGTACGGGAGGTACTGGATCTGATCGCTATATGGGGAGAGGATTCAGTGCTAGCAGAACTTCGTTCGAAAAGACAAAATGCCAAAACTTTTGAAAAAATCTCCAAGGGCATGATGGAGAGAGGCCACAATAGGGACTCAGAGCAGTGCCGTGTGAAAGTCAAGGAGCTC